AAATAAATCCAGTTTCTCAAATTAATTTATTCAATGGAACCTACAGTAATAAATAATGAAACATAGACATTAAAATTAAGAAGGAAGTCACCTTACACTGCTTAAGGGATTGTTTACAATTGTTTTCTGATAATTTCTCATAGAACTGGTGAAATCTTTTATTAATCTCTTGTGCATAGGAAAGGATCTGGACAATCCAGGTGGTTTAAAAAATCAATCTTGGATGATGCTCCAGAAATAGTTATGTCATCTGGTTTTGCTCCCAGCCAGTAAATTCCCTGAATTCCCCATGGCCTTTACTACAGGGCTATTCAAAGGGGCCATTTACAAGTGGTTTACCACATAAAGTCTGTACATATGACTACAGAAAAGTTAACCATCCACCACCATCAGATCAGCACCATCGAAAAAGAAGCTCTTACACTGTCACTGGCCCTTCAACACTCCAAAGTATATATTGAATTCAGTTCAGAACCCGTCCTAGTTACACAGACCCCAACCCATTTGTTTTTTTGCATCGAATGTCCAATACTAATCAAAGGCTCATGCGTTGGTGTTTGATCTGTTGAACTTTCAATTTGAAAACAGTACGTAAGAAACGGTCAAAATGCAGTGTGCAGATTCACTATCTCTTTGTCACATTTAAAAAGAAAACCTATATGTAGCTTTCCTCTTAATGGCGGGGGTGTGACGACCCCCAAAGTGTAGTTCACTCTGCCTATTGAGTGGATGTTTCTGTTCCCCCCCTACTATTACATTTAATACCTCTCCATTCTGATAGGCTGGTTTTCTTCTTTCCTCACTTCCCTTATAAGGCCTGTCCAGACAAGAACAATCATGCCACTGCTTTGTAATTTGTTTTGTACTTGTTGTGTTGCTAATATTCATTGTGCTTGACACCTGTTGCTGTTACACTGTTGATGTTTGTTATTTGTAAATGACCTGTAAATACAGTAGTACCTCAGAACTCAAACTTAATCCGTTCAGAACTCGGGTTTGAATCCTAAAAAGTTCGAGTTCTGATCGAGTTTTCCCCATAAGAAATAATGGAAAACCAATTAATTGGTTCCCGGCCCCAAAAAAATACACCTAAATATGTTTTTTGTTTTAGCATTTAAACACAAAATGAACAGGATAAAACAAGAAGAGCATATACTGTACTAAACACATCTAAGCACATTTATCAAAACAGTAATATGTAAAGAAAATAAATATATCCAAACAATGTGCAAAGTTAAAAAAAAAAAACAATGACACCTTTTTCGTAAAGCCAGACACAGCACTACTACCTTGAGTCATACTAAGGGTTTGTATTTAATGTAGGAACAAAAGCAAAACATTTTGAAATATGAGACAAAAATTGAGAGAGAGTGCATGCCATGCGGTCCATTGTTTATTTTTATTATTACTCTGTATTCGTTAATTTGTTTATAAATCTCAAATTTTTAGGTTGTTACATTTGTACAACTATTGCATAACTTTTTGGTGAGCAATGGCTACCAAAATGATATAAAGTACAGTGTATTACCTGATATTTTCAATTAAAAAAGCACTATCACCAACAAACGATGCTGTCACAGCGAATGCAAGGCTGAGACTGAAGCGTTACCCTTTGTTTCCGCTGAGAGACGTGCCGCGTGACTCATTTCCCTGCGCGTACAAGTTATCTTAGGTCAGCGTTCACTGTTTTCTCACTGTTTTCTCACTGTTTTGGAGCTAGTGAGGGTCGTAGGTAAATTTGTGCACTTTTATTTTTTTCTTTAGGTTTAGTAAAGGAGTATCTTTATTTAGTTAGAAGTGTTTTGTTATTTCGGCTTGGTTGGCTCCTGAACTTGTTCCCTCTGCTAATAAAATCACACGCACAAACACGCCTTTACAAACACAACATTTCACACAATATCCTCCATTACCCTTAGCTGGCTATTTGGAAACAGACATAATGAGCCTGCATTTATGAAAGGAGTATAATTTATGTCTAGTGAAAATATTCCTTTTAGAACTATATACTACCTTTATAAATATATGTTTGGTAAACAGTCCCTATAACCATCAGTTGAACATTATTATTACTGTCCATCTCCTCCCTATTGTACAAGGGTTTATTATTCTCAAATAATAATAATAAAAAGCCTGCACTGTAAACCAGGGTGACTAATTCCACAAAGGCAATCCTGCCTTATTCCTCCAATGCTCTTCCCCCAGGCAAAGCTACCTAACCTATGGCAGCCCTCCTGCAGACATCCTTGCAGTTGCCTCTGGCACGGACAACCACGAGAGCCTTCTGTTCACACTGCAAGATACGGTGGTACCCTGACGGGAGACACTCATCGTGGTTGGGGTCCTGTCTCTCTTGCCATCGGCTACTCAGGTGATGCCGGGAGGTTGTGTCCCAGCCCCTCGCAGACACTGCAGCAGGGCTCAACCTCAATCTCACCGACAGTAAGCACACCTACGTTACGGCCAGACCGTCTCTGCACCTTTAATTTGCCCCTATGTTAAGAGCGTACCGAGAGGGGTTGCTAGAAGCCCATGTGCCATCCTCAGCTTTTCTCGTACAGAAACCTCCCGTCTCATCTTGCTCAAACAAGTGTACTGTAGGTTGAAAACACCGATACTATACTCTCAGAAAAAAAAAGAGTAAAAATTTGTACCTTTGTTTGTCTCTGGGGCTGGACCATCATCCGCTATGGTACAACAATGAGAGTCTATTTCTGTGCCTTAAAAGGTACGATTACCTACAGCTAAGGGTACAATTGGCAGACCCTTGAGGGTACAGCTTCAGTGGCAAGTCAAAGGTACAAATTTTTGCCCTTTTTTTTCTGAGATTGTAGCTGCCTGCTTCTCAGTTTCCTCAAATGCGTGCATCTCTTATACGAATGGGTCAGGACAAAAATCACAGTTATTGGTGATGGCCAACCAGCACAAAACCAGACCCATCTATCTTCTGTGACCGTTTGTCCTGTTCAGGGTCATGGGGGGTCTGGAGCCTATGGGCACAAGGCAGGGAATAACCCAGGATGGGGCGCCAAACCATTGCCGAGCACACTCACACATGCACACCTATGGGTAATTCTAATAAGCCACAGGAAAACATGCAAACTCCACACACATGGAGCCATAGTGGAGACTTGAACCCGGGTCCCAGGGGTGTAAGCAACAGTGCTAACCACTGTGCCACCATGCCACCCACACAAAACTAAAATAATTGCTACCTCTCAAACCTGCTACACCTGAGCTGGGACACAACCTACAGCACAAGCTGAATAACCACACACTGTCTGATTCAATGTTAAATGATTACTTTCCATATATGTAACATATGATTATGCCTATGGTAAAGGTTTTTGCTTTATCTATCTATCTATCTATCTATCTATCTATCTATCTATCTATCTATCTATCTATCTATCTATCTATCCCCAACATAAAGACCCATCTCAAATCAGCCCTGATGAAAAAAACGAAACACTGGAAATGTATATTTTCGGCATTCCTGACTGAAGTTCTGCGAGGAGGGAACGTTGATGATCTTGGTTTGTTAGGACACTGTGCTTTGGCATGCTGCAGGTAAATCAGTCACTTCCTTTGATGCATACAGTTAAAATTGAATGAAATAAAATCAGTCTGCATGAAATAATTCTCCTTTTATATTGATTTGATATTACCTGAGCTTCTTGGGGTGTCTGTGGAGGAATAAACCGCATTTGTCCGCTAGATGGAGATAAAAGTTAAAAGCCTCCGACGAAGCACTGCAATGATGTTCTGTTAATTCGTGAATCACTAGTTGTATTATTATTGTTGTTGTTGTTGTTTGTTTTTGTTGCTGTTTTCAATAATAAGAATTATGACAATAATAATAACAGTTTATGGACGTGGTACTATTGCCACAGCATTGTGCGTCAAATGGTCAGGATTTTTTAAATAACTACCACTTGCAAAAAAAAATGTTATTATGAGAAATGCCGTGATTAATTAAAACGCTCAGTTACATTTTACCTAACCGTTACTGTTTCTACCTAACCGTTCTCATTTTATCTCCTACTAATAGAAGCATTTCAGAAAAGGTACAGAAATACAAGGAGTTAATTAGTAAGGAGAAAAGATAAGGAGTTACTTTCTATGTCCTTCGCTGTTCCAGCAAAAATATTTTGTTGCTATATTCGTGGTTTATAATTTGTAGCATTTACACTTCAGTAGCAATATACTCTAGATTTTAGATAAGCAACAGGCAGGTTTCATATATACACTGGCCTTTAAAATGTATTTAGTATAATCTGTCTATAAACTCTACTTAAATAATTGTGTTTGTTTCTGTAGAAGCCTTGACGATTTCATGGTATGAATGTCATACCCTATGCATTTCTATTAAAGAAGTAGATGTACTCCAGAGAAAAATTCTGACGATGAAGCATTAAACACACACACCACAACGCTTCTGTACTGTCTATGGAAATATTTAGTCGATGCAGTAAACGGAAAAAAAAACTGCACAATTACTTTACCCCTTAAATTCCAATCGTTCGTTGTGCAGCATGACACATGCTATTGAGCGCGAATGAATTTATTACAAGGAATTTCAAATGAAATATGAAAAGAGATCATGGTGGTTAAACTATTTTTAACGAAGTGAGTTATTCTGACTCATCGTAATCAATCCGGCTAGGTGCCTAGCAAGGTTTATTATATAGCCTATATATAATTATATATCTAATAAATCGTATGCTTAATTTAATATTACTCTCCTGTACTGCAGTGAGGACTACGATGCATGTTAGACAGAGTTTGCAGTTCTTGTGGTGTAGAAATCTGCTGTTTCACGCATTTACAAAACTGAACTGGTCAACATCTTTACCATTATTATATATACATATATAATGAACTGTAAAGCGTTAGAATACTCACAACTAAATTTTATCGCTTCCCACATAACTATATTTAGAGTTCACAGATCGCCAAAGACGGCGAAACTCACTGCGACGTTTTACGCCTTGTGTACTTACTATCAACTGCCGGACAGCGTGCATTTAAAAATGAAAAACACCACGATTTGTATTCATTCCATCCTCTGTTCAATTTTCCATTTCTGATGCTGCCTAAAACCAAAGACAAGACGGCTCCTCATACTCCTTAGTGATGGTTGTAGGTTTCCTCTTCCAGAAAACACGCCCCGGTCGCAGATGTAAGGTTACGATCAGTGCTTATAGTGTGTCCATAATGAAAGAGCAAGGTCCAGGCAGCTTTACCGTGCTGATGTAACGTGTAACACGCCGAGCAGGCTTTGCTTATTATATCCCACTCGCATCCACGTGGATTGGAGAGGCAAAATGCTGAAACGCCCCCTTCCAGATGCCGAATAAATACGGCTGATGAGCCTCTCACCGTGGAACAGGTACGCGCTGAAATCACACGTTTATATTTTTCTGTGGCTTGTAAATGCCTTCGATCTGGCGACTACCCATCAGGATTTCCTTAAACTAACAAGCTGCTTAACACGAAAATAGAGTAGTGGTTAATTTGTGTATAACCATGTGACACATGTAGATGCGTCCCTGATGTCCATTTTCATTAGTATTTTAAATAGTGGTGACTCAAGTGTATAGTTACAAGCCTGGGTGCTTGTGTAAACAAGAAAAGACTTCTTTGACTTCGGGATCAAGGAGTAGCAACTAGCGTGCGTTTGGCGTGCCTCGGCGACTAAATACTTAAGATATAATAAAGAGGAAAAACACGTCCTTACCGATCTGCTGCGGCGGAGATATAAAGGCGATCCGCAGAGCGTCAGTCCTGCCCCGTGAGGCAACGGTGAGAGGTATAAAACACAGAGAAGTCATACGTGTATTCACAGAAATATATGCACAGCGTTGTCTAAACGGTCAAAAGGACTAAATATGCATATTAGTTTAGGTGTTAAGCCTCTCCACTGTGGATTATACCCACTGTTGTTAACACCCAAGTGGGCATTACCCACTACTTCTGTATCCTACACAATAAAAACTACTTCAAGTAACTTCAATTATATTGTATGTTCACATTTTAATTAGGGCTGCAGAGGGACCCTATGCCTCACCTCCAGGGTATTGTAATTCCCTCTTCTGCACCGTGTGGAGTTCGCATGTTCTCCCGGGCTGTGCAGATACATGCATTCAGGATAATTATTTCCTTTAAATTGCTTGTAGTAAATAGTGTAGGAGAGAGTTTGATACAGAGGGCGACAAAACTTTTTTTTTTTTACAATTACACGCGTACCTACCTCATTAATGCATCGTAACACATCTTTCAGTTCAAGCAGTTATTATATTTGTTACTATATCTGTAAATTCTGTAAACCCTTGTGAACTACCAATGGAACAAGTAACGAATAACACAAGTGAAATACTGATCTCATGTTCGTTCATCATTAATGAATAGTGACGCATCAGCAATTACTATATTTGTTACTATATCTGTCAATTCTGTGAATCTTTGTGAACTACTAAGCAACCACTGAAGGGACGAGTAATGAATAACAAGTGAAATACTGTCATGTTTGTTCATCATTAATGAGGTGTCTGTCATCTCAAGTAGCAGCTAAATGTATTCATGATATGTAAATCAGTACTACATGAGTTATTACTATGTATCCGTGCCCCCTAAAGTAAAGTGTTACTGAATAAGCGTTTGGAAGATGGATGGAATTTTCACAGGATGATGTTCTAACTGACAACTGCCGTTATCGCTTCACAGAAATACCCAACACCTTTCAAGAGTACAATATTAATGTTTGGCCATTTTCACTCATTTCCTCAAGAGAAACAGCTTTTATTTATTTATTTATTTGCCAAAATCAGTATTACACAAAATAGTGTGTAATACAAAATAGTGTGTAATACAAAATAGTGTGTAATACAAAATAGTGTAATATGCCATATCTGAATTTCTTTAGTTTTACTGACTACACCTTCCTATTAGCCGTCTGTGCAAGAACCAGATTTCTGCCATTATATACAGTATTAACCATATAGCTTATTTAATCTCCGAATGCTAATTAAGTTGATTAAAGTACCTTGGCAGGTAACAAGATACCACAGTGCACGTTGGCCCCGTTTACGCTTTCAGATGCATCATGGGAGATCAGATCGCCAGTGGACACCCAAAACACATCGCCGCTTACACCTGTGTCTAACCCGGGTCTCCAAGGTGTCCAGCCGACCACGTGTTCAGATTTCATTAGTCTGCGTCACTTAGAAGGTCAAATGGCCCCCCGCACAGATATTGAGCATTAGTGGCCGCAATAGTGTTTACACTACAAAGGCTATGCGGTGAAATGCGTCCCAGACCACATCAGCACGTGGTTACAGTGACTGGATCTCAGTGCATCTTGCTGGCCGTTTGCACTTATTTAGTGCTGTGACCCGATGGCCCAAGATGCATTTTAAAACCAAGTGTAAACAAGGAGGTCATTGCAGGTCACACCTCACGCGAAAACAAGTGACTCCTGATAATCATTCTTATGTTAGGCTCCGTGTTCTTGTCAGATTGCAACATAGCTTCAATGAAAATCCAGCGGAGCTGTATAAACCTTCCAAAGCTTCTTCTTATCAGCAGTAACTTTAGGTCTTGAGCGCTGTAATGCGCGGGCTCACCCCGGGGTGCTAGGGACCTCCACCTCCTCCGCAGCCAGCCTCATTAATAACATTTTAAGCAAACTGCCTCTCTGGTTGACAACTTTTACCACTGCACCCCCCCCCCCCACTGCTGGTTGACAGCTACACCATTGTAGAAAATAGTAGGGGGGCTCAGACAATTCAAATAGCCCAGGGGGATCTGACCATGTTAATGTGCTTCTGCTTTTGTAATAGCAGCAATCCCAAAATGCACGTCAAACCTAATAGAGGTCCTTATGGTACCACGTGAGCTCTGTAAGACGTACTGCAATCTGCTGTGCGTCAGTGTGTATAATAGAAGCTTTAGGAATTTTATGGAAATGAAATCTGAGGATAAATGACTCTGTCCCGCTGCAGGCACATACCTGAGATATATTTCTGTTTCCCGGCCTAAAGGGCTGTCAGTAAGTGGCATGGTCAGTTTGGCCCACATTCTTCTCTTCCTTGGGTTCCAGCTTTCTTTCAGTGCCCAGTGCTGTTCGCACAGGATGCACGGTCTTTGCCATTGACCCCAGACCCATAACCTACACCGGTGATGGGAATATCCTGCGTGCATCTGCTCCGGACTGTAGTTTAACAGCCTTCAAGAACTTCCTATCTTCAAAGGGCACGAACTCAATAAGTAATAAGGTTGTAATTGCATCATTGAAGTTATATGGATGATTTTATATGGCATTCATACTGAGATGTAGAAAAGACAGTTGTTGTGTTATACTCTTATGTGTGGTTTATGTAACTTCTGTGAATTCCATTTTCATACCCTCATATATTGTTTTTGTGCATTTCTTAATTTTTTTTAGTAACATGACCTCTTCACTTCCGGTCCATTATTATAGAAAAACCTAATATGTATGGTATATTTGATGTAGTTCTTGATTTTATGTACGGGAAATGAAGTGGATTTGGAATCCTTGTCGCATAATGGGTAGACTGAAGGTTACTGATTCATGTTCTGTGAGGGACTCTTATAAAATACCCCCCAGCAAAGCATTTAACCTGCTTCACAAAATATACAGCTATGCAACATTATTTGTTGCTTTATATAAAAATAACAGTGAAGCAAATAAAGCTGGATACTAAATTTCTGCCTTGGATAATTTGTGGTACAGTATATAAACATACCTATTTTTATATATATCTCCACCCAGCCATCTTTCTACGGCTCACGCTTCCGCCCTCTGCTCCATAGGGTCTGTGTCACTCTGTCACAGTATACAGCATGTATTTCATTCATCCATCCACCCATTTTCTGTAACCAGTCCTGGGTTTTAGTCAGCCTAAACTAAAATGCCCCCCTTTCCGTAGCTGTTGATTAAACCAGCTCAGTGGTTGGGAGGGTATTTGGCCCATTTCTCTGTGCAAACATTCATTTCATGAATTTCTTTGGAATGTCTTCTTTGAAGTGCTCCCTTCAGTGCACGTCGCGGCATTTCAATAGCATTGAGGTCCGGACTCTGACTTGGTCATTGTCAAATATGAAATTTCTTCTGTTTGACCCACAATGTTGTTGATTTACTTCAGTGTATTGGCTCTATCTCATGTAGCATTACCCAACTTTTTCAGTTTTACATCATAGAGACACGGCCTGACAGTTTCCTGGTAGAACTTGGAATTCACTGGTCTCTCAATGACTGTAAGCCATCCAGAGCCCGAGGCAGCAAAGCAGCCCGTCATCATTGCCCTCCCTCCAGCCTGGTTCACAGCTGGGATGGGATTTTGGTGTTGGCATGCATTATTTTGTGTTCTCCAGACACAACTGGAGAAACGTTTGTTTCATAAGTCCACCGATCGCTGTTCCAGTAGACTGTGGAACATCCGAGTGGTCTTTAGCAAGCTTGACAGGCTGCAGTGTTCATTGTTTGAGAGTGCTGGTTCTCTTTGTGGTAAGCCCCTAGGAACATAAATTCCCGTTGAGAGTTGTTCTTATTCAGATTCAGATTCAGATTCAGCTGTCTCCCTGGAGTTCCTTTTAACTTGTCTGAGTACTTTACAGCACTGCTACTTGTAGGAAGAGTAGCAATAGTGCTGAATTTCCTCTGTTCCTCTGTAAACTATCTCCCTGCCTGAAGACCGATGGAGGCCAAAGTCTTTAGAAATCTTTTTGTAAACCTTCTATTCTTGTAATCTTCAACAGCTTTTTCTCCAGATCAGGTTATATTGAACAGAATTCTTTTATGAAGAAAAAGATGTGAGTCTTTTTTTTATAAGAAATGGCAGGTGAGAGCAACAAATGAACTGATTGGAGCACCTCTTTATCCAGGCCATCACCCTAGGGCATTTTGTGGCTCAGCGGGCTAAGCCTCTGTACCTGTGATCAGAAGGTCACTGGCCAATGACCCTGGCCTTGGCAAAATACTCACATGTCCATGAGCCCTTAAGAAAGGGCCTTAACCCCAAGCTCCATATGCTCCGTAGGTGTCAAGATCGCTGCCCGTCTGACCCTCTCCCATGTGTCTTGTCACCATTTGGACAGCAGGTGTCGCTGGCCATACTGTTCCCCCATCTGTCTTATAGCCCCTCAGTCTGTAGTGTGTTTTCCTATTCCCCAGGCAGCTGCGTGACTGAGAAGTTGGCCATCATCACTCCTTTTGTTGTGGATTGCAGTTTTTTTTGTTGTTTAAC